CAAGCACATGCTTGGTATCGTATTATATATAATGTTTTGAACTTGCTTTCACTACTTAGCAACCAATATATTATAAGTGTTTTTCTAAACTTTAAAATACTTTTCTAGATGGAATGAAATTTCATTATATGGCTATAGCATCATCTGTTGTTTCCAATTCTTCACTATTCTACACCAGAGATAATCTATTATATCCATATTTCTGTACATCTCTGATTATTTCTTTAGGATAAAGTTGTATAAGTAAGATTTCTACCTCAAAGAAATAAACATTTAAATATTTTTTTTCTGTGATACATTTTGCTAAACTCAGAAAGAATAGCAGTGTATCACAGATCCTACCTATGCAGAGGGATGATTTTAAATTTTAAATTAAATGCTTTCACAAATAAAATTTATCTAATGCCTTCACTTCTGCTGTAAGGACAAAGACTCTTTAAAAAAGATAAGTCTAGGGCTGGGATTGTGTGAGATGCTGGGTTCGATTCTCAGCACCACATATAAAAAAAAAATAAAGTCCATTGACAACTAAAAAAATATTTTAAAAAAAGTCTAAAATAGACAATCCTAGTAGTCAATGAATCTTGATTCCTAACCCAGCCATACCAACTCTAGGCTTCCTGATGGAATGGCTGACTACAGGAATTGGCAATGAGTGTTCTTTAGAACATCTTTTTGTGCCAGAAAGAGTATCATTAAAAATTAAGGAGGGGCTGGGGTTGTGGCTCAGCAGTGGAGTGCTCGCCTAGCACATGTGAGGCCCTGGGTTCGATCCTCAGCACAACATAAAAATAAACAAAATAAAGGTATTGTGTTCAACTAAAAAATAAATGTTCAAAAAAAATTAAGGAGAGGAGGGGCTGGGGTTGTGGCTCAGCGGGAGTGCACCAGCCTAGCATATGCAAGGCCCTGGGTTCAATTCTCAGCACCGGATGAAAATAAGTAAACAAAATAAAGGTATTGTGTCCAACTAAAAAATATTTTTAAAAAATTAAGGAGAGGAGAGGATATCAAAAAGACACAGGAGCCAGTCTGAAGGAGCTCTTACTTGCTAACTTTGTGACCATTTAAATACAAAAATGAGTAACAAGCCTGCGCAGTGGTACACACCTGTAATCCCAGAGGCTCAGGAGGCTGAGGCAGGAGGATTGCAAGTTCAGAGCCAGTCTCAGCAATTTAGTGAGGCACTAAGCAACTCAGTGAGACCCTATCTCTAATAAAATACAAAAAAATAGGGCTAGGGATGTGGCTCAGTGGCCGAATACCCCTGAGTTCAATCCCCAATACGCCCCACCAAAAAAAAAAGAAAGAAAAAAGAGTAACAATAGTAACAGACTCAAACACTTTGAATATCAAAAACCTTTAAACCTATAGTCAAATAATAAATAAATATATGAGTGAGTAAATAAATAAATAAATAGAGGAAGAAATAAGTTAGGAAAACTTGTAAGGAGGGAACTTTTTGCTTTCTACTTCATAAACTGTCATAATATTTAACTCAATCAAGAATCATCAATGGATACTAAAAAGGTGCTTTGTTGAGCAAAGACATTTACAACCTCAAAGATCTACCTGCAGCTTACTTATTAATTACAAAGGGAAAATGGATATTTTTAATGTGGAAAAACTATGAACTTTTCTTCACCAAGGGTTTAAACTAACTGGATGAACTTCTCTTCACCAAGGGTTCAAACTTACCATCACCCATAATGGGATAAACTGACATCATGCAATTCCCATGAAGCCACAGGGAGGACTGCCAAAGACACATGACCAATGCAGCATTCTTAGTCAAACTTCACACACTTACAGTAAGTGAGGGGAAAATCAGAAAAACTCAAAACGAGGAACATTCTGTAAAACAACTGTGCTGTACTTTTAAAAATATGTCAAAGTCTTAAAAGACAAAGGCAAAGAAACTATTCCAGACTAAAACAGACTAAATAGATAATGCTAATTAAATGCAATCTGTCATCCTGAATTGGAGCCTGGGTTGGAAAAAAACTGCCATAAAAGGCTAATGGGATAAGTGGAAGAACCTGAATATAGATTGGATAATAAAATAAGAATTTTTTAATTGTACTGTAGTTATATATTGAGAGATGTTGAAGTATTTATGCATAAAGTTTTATAACATCTGGAATTTATTCTCATGGTTTAACAAAAATAAATATGATTACATATAAATCAATAATGTATATATATATAGAGAGAAAGCAAATGTAAAATGTTACTAAGGGGTGAGTTTAGGGACAGGACATACTCAAGTTCATGGTATTACTGTCATTTTTCTCTAAGCTTAAAAGGCTTTTGAAAATGAAGTTTAGTTGTAGTTGGACACAATACCTTTATTTCACTTATTTATTTTTATGTGGTGTTAAGGATTGAACTCAGGGTCTTGCGCATGCAAGGTGAGCACTCTACACGAGGCGAGCGCTCTACCGCTGAGACACAACCTCAGCCCGAAAATGAAGTTTTAAAGAGAATTTTAACTAAATGCTGGTTCCCCCCCACACACTAGAAAAGTAATATATACTCACTACAACAATGGAAAGCAACTCATTAAACTAGAGGTCTTCAAACAAAGTGGAAGCAAATTGTCTTTCTTTACCCTCCCACATAAGCAAAGTCAAGCATTTGGTATATGTTTCCTCCATGTTTCACTAAGTTCACAAAACATGCATTTAGTCTGATGTCAAGTCATTCTTAAGAGTCATATGAAGTGAGTTATAAATATTTTACTAAATGTTCTGTTCCTTCCCAAACTCACTGGCAAAAAATGACCAAGTAACAAGGGATTGAATTTATAAATCAGAAAAAAATTCAGAGCTTATTACCTTTATTTTATCATTTAGAAAACATGATAAAATAATGTTTTATGTACAGGCAGTAGCCAATACATATTTCATAAAGTATAACAACAATTTCCACAAGAAATGCACACTTCTTTTCCAATAACTGCCAGCACCTAGCCAAAACTGTTCACATGTTAAACTCATGCTGATTCAGCACTTATGGTGGTGCTTTACCACAAGATAATGATAATGATCGCTCCATTACTAGCCCAAGCCCCTACCTACAAGTTTATGAGTTATGCCCTTGCAGTTTATAGTAATACACTCCATTTGTGAACTGTACACACTTAGGTTAAATACCTAAACAAAAGCAAGATTTGGCAGTTTCCAATTCCTTCTTGTCCTATGAATTTTCTTGTCTCTCTCAAACATAGTAGAAAAAGTATTACAAATGAATTTTTGCAGGGTAGGGAGTAAATGGACTGCAACTGATATTTCCTATCAAAATATGTTTTCTGTCTTATAATATCCTTTTTCAAATCCAATAATCATGTAAGAACATGTTCATTGTATTGAAGTTCCATGACTTAAGCTTAAAAATATTATCATAAACTTCTTTCAATACAAGCAGATAGAATTGTTTATTTTCTATTCTTGCCTGATCAACTAGAAATTTCAGAGTTAAATACTAAAAAATAGGGGTCTGGCTTCCTGAATTTCAATTGCCCCTCCTGGGACATCTTAACTATATTTCCCATTCTATAAAATGGGGACAATAATGCAAAGTTTACTACATAAAGGGTTTAGTCAAGAGTAAGAAATGGCCTTATTACTTAGCTACTCTGAAAATTTTTTCTTGATCAAGAAGTGGGAGGAAAGAGAACAAATTTTTTCTAGCCAGGACCCTTCTGTTTTACATACACCAGCTTTGAAAGTTTTCACTTGTTAATGCTTTCTAAAACTTACAGACACCCTAATATAGAGGTATCTTAGTCCTTCTAACCCAACTTCAATGATGGGAAACATGGCTGGTAATCAGCATGATAGAGGTTGCTGGAAGAAAACCCACAAAATGCTCCCACTTGGGTTTCCTTCTCTAATCAATTGCTATGGTTTACTGACAACAATTAATGGGGAAAAAAATAAAATCACTCAGGAGATTAAAGGATATTTATGGAAAAGTTCACTTTAAAAGGATAATGGAAAGAACAATAATTAGCTAAAACCAGACATAAACAGAAATGACCAAAACAAGTTCCAGAGCTAGGAATTAAAAGTTATTAGTAGGATGACAGTAATGATAACATCGTGTATATTTCAAAAAGCTGAAAGAAAGGGTTTTGAATGTTTTCACCATAAAGAAATGACAATGTGTAAGGAGATGGACATGTTTAAGCTGATTGAAACATTACATATTATGTACATGTATCATATCAAAACATTACCGAGTACCCCCAAAATATGTGTAATTTTTATGTTTTTAATGCATCAGTTAAAATACATTCAAAATTTTAAAAAGCACTAAAAACAAAAATTAGTTCAGCTGAGCCCCCATAGGTCAGCTCTGAAAGTAGATTTATTCTTGAAGTACCAAACTGAATTTGTGGACCATGTTGGGCCATATTACTAAGAAAGATGAAAGGTCTCAGAATTCAGAGCCCATCTGCAATCAGCAGGAATCCCATACTCTGAAAACCAAGGCCCTTTTCTGATTTTACAAAGCAGGGCAGCTCTCTGTCTAGCCTTAAATAGAGGTGAAATACAAGAAGCCAGTACTGCCTATTTCAGTAGAAAAACATTGATTTTTATTTTTTAAAAGACAACTCCCAAGGACCACAAAATCAAGAACATATAAAAGGGGATGAAAACATTACACATTACTCTTTACTGACCCCTGTTGGCTGCCTTCGGAAGTGAAAAACCCTGAACTCCAGGAGAGCCAGCTCAGAGAACAAGGTTCTTCCATGTCATGAAAAAAAAATCCTTTCACTTCAGATGACCCCTAGTAGAACTCAACCCTAAAGCACACGCTGCAATAATTTCTATTTATGGGGTTCCCAGAATGGAAATTGGGAAACGGCCTCATGGATCAGCCCCAAAGACCTTGCTAGGTCCCTTGCAGTTCTGTGACCCTCTATCTCTAGGTAGAAGAGCTTATATAAGTGCTGTCATGAACATTTCTGATAGAAGGAAAAGATTTTTTACCTCTTTCTCTATTTTGAGCAGCTTCTTTACAGCCACCTCCTTGTCCTGTGATATCCATTTGGCTCGATAAACACTCCCAAAACTTCCTCCACCGCAGTTTTCAAAAAACTGCAAGTCATCAAATTTAATTTGCACAAAGGAAGTACCGAGAGACGACATCTCATAATGACAAAGTAGTATACTTCCACAAAATCTGTAGGAAGAAAGAAAAAATTGAATTATAAATAAGTTTGAAAACTCCTTTGAATCTTACTTTAGATGGTGAATAACGAGTCCTCTGAAACTTCCAGAAAGGCCATGATCACTTAGGAAGAAAAAAAGCAAGACAAATCAAAATAAAAACACTCACTCTGGCAGCCCGTGCAAAATTCAACGGCAACTTGTCCAGATTTTGAAATGCAGCTGTCCACAGAGAAATGGCTCAGATTTCCCCCCAACAAAACCTGTAGCAGCACTTCCTACACCCGTATCCCAAAGAGCTCTGCCTAAAGGCTACTGTGTCACCAGGTCTCCTATCAGGAAGCCTGACAAACGGGAAGCGTCTTTCAACAGCAAGCTAGCACAGCTCTCCTGGCAGCTGTGGTTGGCCACCTCTAATACACATAACCCAAGCCACGGAGCATCCCGCACCAGCCCAGCCAAAATGCTGCCAACAAAATGCACAGTCAATGCTTAAACTCCCATAACACACTTCCAGCTTAGAAATGATAGAAAAGTTGGCCAAGTATTTTCCAAATGTGGCTTCCTGAACTGTATACTGTAGCAGAACTTAATTAAAGAGTAAAAAATTTGCCCTTGATTACAATATATTAAGTCATCCAAAGAACACTGCCAAGGATGTTTTAAAAAATATTATGTTTGTTTCCAGAGTAACACACTACCCCTCCTAGAGATTATTACAATGATATTTTCTGTGGTTTGAGGAGTCTTCCTATTCTCCACTAAGAATGACCAGGTAAATGATTCGGGCATCATACCTGGCCCCACCTTCCAAAAAATATGTGTGTGTGGGGGGGGGGAGGATGAGGGGGAGAGAGAAAGCAATGTAGCAAAATGTTAAGAACTGACAAATCTAGGTAAAATTTTTTTCTGTGAGATTTGATTTCTTTTTCAAAATAAAAAGGTTGAGGGTCAGTTTGTATCAATATAAATTCACCAGATTTTCTCCATAAACAACTTGAGGCTCAGAATAATGTACACAGTCAGCTCAGAGATCTTAATATGCAGATGACTAGGAACATCAGGTCATTAAGGAAAGCTGATTTCTTGCACAAGCCAAACTGTGCTCTACTTTGGTGAGAGGGCAAGAAAGGGAAAGAGTGGGTTTGTCTATCCTCTAAAATTTAGAAGAGGTCCACAAAAAAATTGGGAGTTTGGGGGAACCATGTATCCAGTTATAGACTAAAATAATATTCATCCTACCGGCTTTTGCTACAATTCATACTCAGTTAATTGTACAAAAGAAAGTTTGGATAAAATTTAGGACTGTGCCAAAGGTAGGAACATACTTAAGCTAAAAAATTTGTTTAACAAAATGCAAAATACATGTGCAAGATTTTCTCATGTTACAGATGCTATGTCTATATTTTTTCCTTAATTAACAATCATAAAAGATGAAATTGGACTATAAAACTATGAAACATTAAGTCTTTTGCCCTACTGTTCCCCACATCTAATTCTCACTCTCCAGAGGCAACTAATTTCAAATTCTTCAGTATTTCTTTCTGGTATTTAGCTCCACATTTCTAAACAATAAGCTTATATTGCCATTTCTTGATTTTTCCACATTTTAGATAATATCTATTAATTTACCCCCATGAAAAATAAGGATTTAGTTTTCCTATATCATCCTTCATTCACCACCAGGCATACAAATGTCACACTTGCCCAATCCTGTTTTCAATCATACTGTAACATTTGGTTAAGTAAATATGCAGAGTGTATAGTAGTCTGACAAAGTAAATATTATATCCTGCAGTGCTATACAGGATTTAATGCTTACATTTCCCTTCTTGAATAACATTTTGTCTCTTCTAAAGTTATTAGTTATCCTGTTTTTTGTCATTTGTTATTTATTTAGCTTTTTATATTCCTAACATAAAAAGGCTATATTCCTAATAATACTCACCTTATCAACTCTTTCAAGAACTGAAAAATGTCTCTTAATAAACTGAAAACAGCAGGTTCTTTCTTTCTTCTTCTTTTTTTGGTGTAGCGGGTGAGGGTTCTATTTTTTTTCTTGGAGACATTTTCTCTGTACACCTCATCCTGGAATGGCTGCTCTCTAAGCCTGACCTAGACTAGGCCTTCCCTTTGCTACCATTCAAGAATTTTCCCTCACCTTTTTCTTTTGAGGCAATCCCTGTCCTTGGATCTTCCATTTTCTCTTTCTTGGTTTATTTCTGTGTTTTGACAACATCCCTCCCATTAGATACCTGGACAGAATTCACAGAATGCAACTCTTTTTAAGAACCTGTATATTCTGAAATGTCTTCATTGGTAGCCTGGCTGAATATGCAATTCTGTGTAGAAAACCACTTTCCGTATAATTTCCAAGGTATTACTTCTTTTTCTTCTTGTTTCTAACGTGGTTATTGAAGAGTCTGATACTACTCTTATAAGTAATCCCTTTTACATGATTTTATCTCTCTGAAAGCTTTTAGGATCCTCTATTCATCCCTGGAACTCCAAGTTTTATTGGGACATGCTTAGGGGTGAGTCTTTCTTAAATGCTGATAGAAAATTTGAACTCAGCTATCTGTAACTCATGTCTTTGATTCCAGGAAATTTTCTGGTGTTGTTCCTTTACCATTTAGAGCCACTCTTTCTTCATGTCTTCTCACTGCACATATGCACCTGAAAAACAGCTAGCAGCTCCCCACGTGTGCTGAACTATCTCACGCCTCCATATTTTGCACAGGCTAGTGTCTCTACTTCAAATGCCTATCTCTGCCCAACAAACTTGTGTGCAGGGTACCTCTTTGAGCCCCCTTAAGAAAACTTTATATTCTTTCTCTTCTGTACCACAGCATCTTTCTAAATCCATTCATCTTTCCCACTAAATTCCCAACAGGCATACATTTCCAAATTCACTTCCATTTCCATCTGGTTATTTGGCATCCTGTACATAACCAGGCACACAGTGTGTACCTTTTCCATTCAAAACATTTGAAAAAATTAATAGTTTCTGGTTATTCTTTCATTGTGCATTTTGCAGCTAGTTTTCAAAGATTTCAATCATCTAGTTTTCAAAGATCAGCTAGATTTCAAAGATCTAGTTTTCAAAGATTTCAATCAAATTAAGTAAAATCTGAGACCTGTAGATTTTACAAGTGCACTCAGAGGATTCTGAAGCAAATCCTGATTTGGAAACTGCTACCTAGGCTTTCTGGGAGATTGAGGAGAGTATGTGGATCTTCACAAGGTCCCTCTGAGTCTCGAGGACTAGAGAAATCCTTTTCAAAACAAAGGTATAGATCTGAACCAGGATGAGATCAATAGGAATTAATCTAACCCCATGTAGAAGCACCATTCTCCAGGATCTTCACCACTTCACATGAGGCAACTAGTCATGTTCTTCCCAGAGTCACAGTTACTCACATTGTGATACACCCTGCCATTTGGGAATTGGCAATACATGAATGGAACCATGCAATTATTTGAATGTTTTATTGAGACTGTAAAAAAATTAAGTCCCATCTGATACTGAAAAGACTAACAATTCTAGGGTGTCTAGTGAGCTTGGCAAAGCATTGTGCACTTAGCTGAAAAACTTGGTTGAGGTTTCTATTCCCATACCCATATGAATGTCAGAAAAAAAAAAATATATATATATATATATACACACACACATATACATGTGTGTATGCATACATACCTTCTTCTGGTTTATTACCAGAAGAATAAAAAAATCTGAGTTGTATGTCAGTTATAACTAGAGCATCTTGGGGAAGACTGCTACCTGACCAAATTATGTTCCAGTTTTTCAAACTGAGTACACCAGTGGCGAGTCATCTGTGTAGGCTTATTTACACAGGGTACCAAATCACATACACTGTTTTCAACTCACCATGATAAAAAATTGCTTTACACAAAAAAAGCAATTTTTCTCCATGTACCAATTTTCAGTACTAACTTTTTAGCACTGGCAAAGCTGTTTTAAATACTATTTATCACACAACACTGAGGGGTAAACTAGAGCAGTAGTATCAGAATAAATCAAAGAATAGAAAGATGGCACAACTCTGAAGATCCTAACAATGTGGTTGGGTCCAATCATGTGAATACTTGAGTAATATGCCAAATATTTTTAACCTAAAATTTTTCTTAAATTAAAATCAAAACAAAAATTTAACTACTAAATGAATGAAAACATATACAGCATCATTAATTATCAAAAATAGTCATATGAAAATTAGAAACCTTAAAAGGAGTATTATTCCACTTTTTAAAAAGTTTTCAATCTTCTAAATTCCTCCCATTTAATGTCCCATGATTGATAGTCCAAAAGTTATTTTTAAGTATACACTGTATTTCTTGACCTCCTTGAAAAGTTTTAGTTTCAAACAACAGATATTTCAGCAAGAAGTAGCACAGTCCAGGGGAAGGAGCCCTACTAGATCTAGCAGCAAATCCAAACTTATAAGCTATTAGACCTTGGGCAAAATACTAAGCCTCTTTGCTCTCAGTTTTCTCACTAGCAATAATAATTTTTCTGCATATAATTTAGAAAGTGGGAGATGATGTGAAAGTGCCTTCCTTGGTTCCCAGTACATAGTATACACACAATAAATGGAAATCATTGTTTTCTTTTTTTTTTTTTTAATAACAACATATTTAGCCATCTATTCCTTCAGTCTTCATGGTCAGGTATGCTTTCCTTGATAGTTTTCCTCTCCCCACTTTAAAAATTGTTTTCTTTTATCTTTCCATTACTTTTGCAGGGAAATTATTAATAAATAAATACTATTGGTCTATAAATCCTTTTCATGTACTTTTCTTTATTTTCGTTTTTCCTAACTCCTCTCTTTGTTGCCCTTTATTTTCTTGTCATTTTTCATTTTTGTCAGATCTATTTCATTAGCAATTATAGTTTTTACTTATTTTTCCCAGAGAGAATATGTAGTTATTAAAATGTAGTACTTTTTTTTTTTTTTTTGCACTTTTTAGATATTAGCATTTCTAGAACCTGTT